AAACAAAAAAATTTCTTTTTCTTTCAAAATCTTAGTGCTGCTAAAGCACCATATCGAGCAACATTTCGTGTTCAAACTGTTGGTATTGAACAAGTTGAACGTTGTGCTGATCCTGATTATGAATTTATGCATGATTTTAGTACTGAATATTCACAAATGGCTATATTTAAAGTTGGTGATGATGTTCGACAAGTAAAATCGAAATATTTTTTTTTTGTTTAAATATTTCTATTCGAATTTAACAAATTTATTTATTTATTTTTTGGTCATTAAAGGATATATTAGCTTTACAATTAATGCGTTTATTTCATAATATATTTGAACAAGAAGGATTAGAATTATATTTATATACATATCGAGTTATAGCAACAAGTCCTGGAGTAAGTGTATATATATATATATATTATTTAATATTTATTAGAAAATTTTTTCTAGTGTGGTGTTATTGAATGTGTTCCAAATTCTCGTTCACGTGAAGATATTGGTAGAAATACAGAAGCTGGTCTATTTGATTATTTTCGTCATGTTTATGGCAAAGAAGATTCAATTAAATTTCAAAAAGTAGAAATATTTTATTTTTTTCTATGAATAATTTTGTTTATTAATGATTATATAGGCACGTCGAAATTTTGTAATAAGTATGGCTGCTTATTCCGTAGCACTTTTTTTGTTACAAATCAAAGATCGTCATAATGGAAATATTATGTTCGTTATTTATAATTAATTATGATTGTTATCGAAATATATTTTATTGATATTTTTTTTTGTTTTAGGCTCGATGATGAAGGACATATTATTCATATTGGTTTGTAATTTAATATTTAATTTTTATAATATTATTGATTATTTTTCATTTTCTAGATTTTGGTTTTATGTTTGAATCATCACCTGGTGGAAATATGAGATTTGAACCAGATATTAAATTAACTGCTGAAATGATTCTTATTATGGGTGATTTAACAGCTCCAGCATTTTTATGGTTCAAAGAATTATGTATTAAAGGTTATTTAGCATTGAGGTAAAAGGATATTTTTATTTTGATTTCAAGCTTGATGAAAAGAACAGAGATAAAAATTTGAAATTTCCCTCGCTAATAGACCGTACATCCATAGTATCTCGTTTTTTTTTATTTATGAGCTACTGCATTTCTAGAGGATTAAGTAAAAGAATGGTAAGAAAGTGTGTTCCGAAATAGATAGAGTAGAACAATCGATAGATGAAAGTTTGCATTCAATAATTGACTAATGGAATGCATTAATAAAAAATTTTACACTTCGATACCTTATCGTTTAGGAGATTTTTAAAGATCAAGATGCGAATCTCCCCATAAGTTGTATTTGAAAAATAATTCTTTACTACTTCAGGTGAGGAAAAGATTAGTTTTTCATTTTTTGAATGATTGAAACTTCAAAAGTCTAAAAATATAAAACACGATTCTTTTAATAATTTAGAATTTGTCTGTCATTGATAATTAATGAGAAAATTTCTTTTTTCTCAACTGAAGGACTACGCATAAGTCTATCGATATTTAACGAAAAAAAAATCAAATTGAAACAGTTTTTTTCTTTTATATAGTATTTCTATTACTACTAAAGATGAAGGTAAAGCATAAGTATATTACATGTCAATCGAAAGCGTTATCGATGTGCATTAGATTGTCCTTGTAGACTATGTAAACTACTATTATTGTAATATTTCTTATGCTATTCGATAACTTAATAAGTTTGAAATATAGAATTATGGCTGTTACACTGCACTATAATCCTTCTGAGCTTCTTCTAGCTTCAACAGGTCCTCTATAATGATTGGAGCATCATATCAACGCAAGGATTTCCTCATAAGATACGCAAACATCATTATGTGTCCAGATAGTTTCATAGATTATTCATAAAAATTGCCCGAAAACTATTGAAGATAATCTCAAAATTAAATTTTATTTCCGAGTCATATAATAATAAATATGTATGATTTATTTTATTTTTCTATTCTGTATTCTAGACCTTATCGTCAACATTTTATAACACTTGTTGCATTAATGTTAGATACTGAATTGCCATGTTTTCGTGGTCATACATTAGAACAATTTAATGCTCGTCTTAAACCTGATTCAAGTGAAACAGAAGCAGCTCGTTATATGCATGAAGTTATTAATCGTTGTGCACACAGTTTAAGAACACGTATTTATGATTATATTCAATTTCAACAAAACAAAATTCCTTATTGAAAAATTTCTTTTTTTTTTTGTCTTTATCTATTTTTCAAATTATTTTTGATTTCATCATTTATTTAGAAATTTGGTTTTGGTTTTCTTGGGATATTTGTACAATGATGCAATCTTTCTTACAGTTGTACTCGTGAATCCCTGTGCCTTTTTTCTTTCTTATTTTAAACAGCAAATTTATTTATTTTTTATTCAAGAAAAAAAAATTGTGTCTTCCCTGGTTGTTTATTGTGCTCAATCGGTTTTTTTTTTGTATTATTAGAATTTATTTTGTGCATTTGTGGAAAAAAAGTAAAGGGAAATATATGTTTGATTAATAAAATGTA